GGGATTCTAGTCTACATTCTCGGAGGTCTCTTTCTCATCGATAGCGACATCAACGCAACGTCGCCGCTACTATACGCCTTTTAGCTTTTTCAGAAGTGCTGGGTGCCCTCCCTCTACGCCGTCGGCCAACACGTACTCGTCCTCCCGGAGCAAGCGCCTTACGCCGACTTGCGCGAGGCTACTTACGCGACGATCCGGTCGATCACGGGCCACGTCCTGCGGGCGGTGACCAAGACACGCCGCGGCGGTCGAGCGGTTGTGCTCGAGATCCCAACGACGATGCACACCCGGCCGGCGGTAGGTACCCACGACGAGTTCAACGGCGCGCCGATTGGGTCATACTGACGCAAGAGCGTGTGCTTCTCTGCCGGAGGCACATACGTCTACGCGCAAGTCACGGATTACCAAGTCGCGACGGACCTCCTCTTCGTCATCGGCGCCGAGGCCACGGGGTGGACGCATCGCGAAGGCGTCACGGTCGTGGAATTCATCGTCGCGATGCTGCTGCGTACGTCCAACAGACGGGACGCCGACGCGTCACCTGAGGAGCTCCGGGCGCTCCACGCTCTGCTCGTCACGCGTATCCGCGGCGATCCAATCGCGAGAGTGCCACCGTCGACCGACGTAGCAACCATCCTTTACGGGGTATCTACAGCGCGGCCGGCCCCGAGCGTGCAATGGACGGACATGACGACTGGCGAGTGGCAGACCTGCGGCATTCAGTACGCGGTCGACTTTACGTGCAACGAGACCGACGACGCCCCATCAGCTCACGTCGAGCTCGGCAACAGCATCAGCGATGACCCAGCGTTTCGCCGGCAACGACGACGCGAAGAAGAGCAGCTGCCCGACGACCCCGTCGACGAGTTCCTGATCTCGCCGCCGCGAAACCCTCGCTCTCAACGCAATGCGCCCGCGCCACCGCCGCCCGATGCCGTGCTGTCGCACGCGGCGCGCACAGATGCGGCGAGATTGTTTGCGGAGCTTGAGCGGGACATGGGAGCACACGAAGACGAGCGCCCGATGCCGATCGCGGCGGTCGCGACCGGCAACGACGCGCTGGACCACCTTGCCGGCCTCGTACCGGACGCGCGCGTCATTCTGACGAAATACGATTTCAACCCGGACGGACTGCAATGCTCGATGTTCAAATGCATCTACCACTTGCAGCTGCACGCGACGTCAGGCACGGACTTTATCCGCCAGCACGGTGGCGTACGAGACCGCGGCTTCGCGACGGCACCGGCGATCATGACGGCTCTGCACCACTAGGATTTCGCGCCCGGTCGGCTGTCGATCGCGCACCTGCAGAGCATGGATCCGCGCGAGTACGGCGCGTGGTGCGTCGCCAAGAAGATCGACGTCAGCAACAACGGAAGCACGGCCAAGATGCCCGAAGCCGTACCGTTCGCGGACATGGCAGGCCTACGCGACGCCTGCTCCAACGTCGGACGGCTCGCGGCCGATCTAGGCTCGCCAGTGCTTTGCGCATTTGCTGCCCGACTCGCCTCGTTCATGCGCGAACTGCCCGACAGTGGGGTGTACGGGAAGGCCCAAGTGACGGTCTTCAGTACGTGGATCGACGACGCGTGCCGACAGCTCCACGACGAGCTCCGCGCACAGATGTGTGGCGCGCAGCGCGCCATCAACGTGATCAGCGTCACGCACACGCCGCTGCTACGCTTCAACCAACAGCTCTCGGAGCGGGTGATGGAGTCGCGGATACTGCAGACAACCAACAAGCGGCAAGAAAGCGACGCGACCGGCACGCAGGCGAAGAAGGCCAAGGCGGGCGCAACTGCCAAAGTCAAGCGCCCGTGGTTTGAGCATGTCCCGACGCACGACAGGAAGAAGATTTTCCTCAAGAACCTCACCAAGCGAGGGTGCGTGAGCAACGCAGCAGGAGAGTGCTTCAACCCCAGCAACGTGCACCACGTGCCAGCGATCAAGTTGCATCCGCATGTGCTCCAGCACATCGAGCGCATGGGCGGTCTGAATGAACTGCACAACGCGCTCAAGTGATGGGGGGCGACTGGACGCTACGCTGCGCCTAACCCCGTGGCTCGACAAGACAACGAGTAGGGGCCACGGTGACCAGGAGTCTAACCCCGGAGCATCGTCAAGGAAGAGCGCTGGCCCCTTCGGGTCGGCAAGGGCCCTGCCCCACTCGGACCAGGACAGTCGTCGACAACATCATACCAGCAGGAAGGCCGACCCCCTCGGGAAGGCAGCGGCGTCCAGCCCCTCGGCCGGACGCAGCCGCGCAGTCACGACGGCGAGCGGTAACCAGAACCAAGATCACAAGTGGACCGTGAGCCAAGGCGTCGTCGAGCGGGCCGCCGAGGAAGACAACGCGACCACCGGCTCGCTCATCGGCACACTCCTCCACTACGGAATAGACCTGCACAACCTGAGGAAGGCGGGTCAAGACACGGAAGGCTACGGCATAGACATGGCGCTGGTCGAGGCACTCACGTCGCTCATGCGGCGAAGCCGTTTGTCGATCGCCGACATGGCGCGCATCGTTCGCGGCGAGTCGCTGCGCGACCCGCGACCAAACAAGGCGGTCGACCTAGCGACCATCCGGAACCTCTTCGGCGGCTTCGAGCACCACGCGCTCCTCCAGGACATGTGGACACGCGGCTTCAACCCGGCGTTCGACCAGCACGAGCCCTCCGAGCCCGTCGCGCCTCGTCGTCGCTACGGAGACCGACCCGAGCGCCGCGAGGCCAACCACAAGTCGGTGACCGACAATCCTGAGGCGGTGACGCAGAACATTCGCGAAGGCCAAGCCAACGGGACGAGCAGGTTTCCAGCGTCTCCAGCAAGCGTGCAACACCGTCAACAAGGGTACCTCTCGCCTCAACTGCGACGGCATGCGCGCCGACGCCGAGTTCTTTGCAGTGCTCCTCGGCCGCGGGCGGCTGACCGGCATCCCTACGACCATGTTTGCGAACGTGCACCCACCAGACCTGCATTTGTACATGGACGCATCGGACTACGGCTTGGCCGTTATCGACGTCAGCGGCCACAGGCCCTCGCAAGCCGGCGCAGCACGAGCACTAGTGCGACAGTGGCCGAGGCCGCGTTCTCCATCAACGTACGCGAGTTCCTCAGCGGCGTGCTCGCCCTCACGGTGGGGCAAGGACTGGGCAGACCCGGACCGCGCCACACACGTGCGCGTATGGCTGGACAACACGGCGGCAGTCGCATGGACAAACTCGCTCAACAGTCCGAACGTGCTCGAGCAACCACCGTGTCGCGCGCTCGGTCTCGCCCTCGCCGAAACCGGCATACATATCTCCGCCAAGCACCTGCCGGGCGCAGAGAACACGATGGCCGACGCCGGGTCGCGCGAGTGGCAGTCCGAAAGCCACGCTGCAACCTGGTCGCCATTTGCCGATTCATGGACCCGGACGCGCGTGCCGACGCACCTCCGGCACCCGTACGCGAGCTCAAGCTCTGCTGCGCAGCCCTCACAAGGACCACACGAGCCAAGTACGCAGTGATCTGGAAGCACTACAACGAGTGGTGCACGACGAACGGCCGGCCCGTCTGCTTACCGACCGACCGACTCGTGCAGTCGCGGCAGCTTTTCCCGTTCGCCCGGCATCTGCACGAGGCACGCAAGAACCGAGAGGCCACCATCCGTTCCAAGATCGGCGTGGTCAGCTGGTATCATCGCTGCGTCACCGGGTACGGCGTGGGCCTCGACGCCGGACACGCCACAGCTCTCGCCGGACTCGAGCGACTCGAGCCCACCCACCCCGGCCGAGAACCCGTCACAGCCGGCTTCCTCCAAGCTCAGCGAGCCAACATCAACCTCTACAACGCCAAGGACCGCTCTATCTGGGGGGCTACGGTCATGGGCTTCTTCTACTTTATGCGCTGCTCCGAGTACGCCGCAACGGCAGCGGGCACCCACCTCCGGCTCCGCGACGTGAGCTTTGCGGCAAACACGGGCGCCGTGCCACACAGCTACGCCGACGCAGTCTCGGTCACGATATTCTTTCGCTCCTCCAAGACGGATCAAGCCGGCGCCGGGACCGCACGGACGCTGTACAAGTCGGGCAACCCCGAACTCTGTCCAGTCGGCGCCGCTTGGTTCCTGACACAGAACTGCAAACGCATCGGCGCCGGCCCTGACGACCCGCTCTGCTGCTTTGCCGACACGAACGATCGACGACACCACGTCAGCGGCGAGATGGTATCCAAGGCTCTCAAGTCCACGGCGCGAAGCCTCGGTCTCGACCCGGAGCGCTACTCGTCACACTCGCTACGCAGCGGCGGGGCAACTGCGCTGTTCCTCGGCGGGGCGACGGACCTCACTGTCCAGCAATTCGGATGCTGGAAGTCGGACGCGTACAAGGTCTGCACACGCATCGACGTCAAGCAGCAGTCCACATTCGCCGCCATCATGATCAGCTCGCTCGCACCAAGCGCAACTCAGACGGGCACGGGCACGGGCGGTGGAACGATCCACTACCATTACCTCTACCACCCACGGGGGACCACCACCTCGCCACGCGAGCGACGCAATACACTTTGACATCCCCCAACGCCGAGTGTAACGCCGTCAGTCTATTTTGGACCCAGAAGCGGTTCCTATATTTGCCTCAGTTCCCAATCTGTCTTTCCCGCGATGCTCTCGCTTGTGCAGCCGCAACTGACGGCTTTGGACATATGGGCCCTTGGCATCACAATTGTCATTGGCGGCCAGTACTTTTCGTGGAACGCTGGCCTCGTCGCCGGCTTTTACAGCTACTTTGGTGCGCTGCTGCTCATGTCAACCGCGTACATCACCATGGTGCTCTGCCTCGCCGAGGCGTCGAGCATGCTGCCGTTCGCTGGTGGCGCGTACGGTCTCTCGCGCTGCTCGCTCGGGTTCTACCTCGGATTTATGATTGGCTGCTGCGAAGCGCTCGAGTATTTGGCGT